TCACTATGTTACACATATTTGTGAATACCCGCTGCTTCCTCTATCTCAAACTGGAAAGTCTAAGTCTGTTCAGTCTTTCTGAGCATGGAAATAGCTCCACGTTTTTGTTTAGTCTTTATTATCACTAAACATACCTAATTCTTCTAGATGTTTCAAAAATCATTGAAGAGAATTGATGTGTTGCTGAAGATAGAGGCACAAGGGGTATTTATACAGCATCATTGCATATTATGGGGTTTTCTGCATTTATCTCCTAGTATGTCCACCGTGTTTTAACCATCACCGGTCAATAACTCACAGTAATTTCAAGTTCTCTTTCCTCATTTGCAAGGCATAACTAAGTCCATCATCAGGCATATGCTGTCAGATCAACCTTCTCAACAAATGCTACCTTACATCGATCAGAACTGAATTTGGCCTCCTATTTTGTTGCCCCATCCCTTAGCACTGTGAGACCCCTCTGACATTCCTCACAGTCAGCTTTTGGTCTTGCTACCTGGAAAAATGTGTCAGTGCTTTATTATTCATCCTCCGTTCCAGGCAGCTTATGAGGGCTTGGAACAGCAGAGATCCCAGCACATGTTCTCCAGTAACAACCCTGTATTGTCCAGCCTTCTTATTTTTTTCCATACAGTTTGCAGTCTTTACCTAGTCACTACCTAACCCCTACAAGATGACACCAGCTTAATTCCCCAAAAGTCTTTGAAACACCAAGTGTTTGGTTGGTGGTGGTTTTTTTTGTTTTGGTTTGGTTCTTTTTAAAGAAATCCAGACATATTTTATCAGTTAAATCATCTTTACCAAATGCTCATCCAGTCATTCAAACAACATGAGCAGATTTACAGGGCAGGATTTCCTGCTGCAGAAGACAACTTGACTCCTCTCTATCATTGTCTTTATTCTGGTGAACGAACACGAGTCCTATTCTTTTTTTACAGTTTCTGCTGAAGTGCCTAATACAGAAACCAGGCTCACTACTACTTTCCAGTTTCCCAAACACTCCATGGGCCCCTCTTGAGAAGCCTGACACGTTTACAGCTTTTCATCCTTCCATTCTAAGGCCGATTTAAGCAATGATTATACACAACCGTGTGTAACTCGGCAACTTCACCACTGAGTTCTTCACAAAGCGAGAACTTTCCCGAGCAATTCATTGTGCCCATTTGCTCCAAAATGTCAACCCTCTGTCAGCTTCCCCCAGCCTGTCCCCCAGCAAGGAAGGCTCCACGTGGGAACTGTTCTGCAGTGAACAGCAATGCAAATAACTTCTCTGCTACGGCTTTACCTTCCCTTAGCTCACATGTAATACTATGATCATCTATCAGCGCATCGGGATCTCTGGCAAGCTTTCTGCTTTTGACAGTAAGACAAAAAGCTTTTTTTTTTTTTTAATGCCTTTTGAGCGCATCGGGATCTCTGGCACGCTTTCTGCTTTTGACAGTAAGACAAAAAAGCTTTTTTTTTTTTTTTTTAATGCCTTTATAAAGTTGTTCCTCAACATTTTTTTGGCCTACCTCATTACAGTTTATACTTCACTTGCCAAAGTTAATGCTCTTTCCTATTCTCATTTGGATACAACTCCTGCTTCAGAAAGATGACTTATTTCTAGGAGCCTTGCTTACTTTACTGTTCAAGCCAGTCCTTGTTCATTTTTGTACCTTTCCTTCAATTTTTTTATTTCCCCTCCCTTCTCAGACTTTCACCATCAGAACTGGGCACAGTATTCTAGAAGTCCTGTGTTGTGGGGTTTTGGGGAAGTTTGGTTTTTAATTTTAAACCAGTGCTACACACAAAATTTCTCAACTTATGTGTGTACACATGAACCAGAAATAGCATTTCAGCTATGATATTTTGTTAAGATTGCATGATGCTTTCTCTGTGTCTGTTTCCAAGACAGAGTTTTTCTGTCTTTAAGGTATAATCTACATTTGTTCCTCCCAGATGTCTTATTTCATACTGGATGTATTAATGTATATTTTGCTGGACTGTGGCCATTTAAATCAGGCAATCCAGATTGTTTCTCTAAAAGTAACCAGTCCTTTTTTTAGTACTCTCCAATAAGCGTATCATCTGCACCCTTAACCTAGGATTTTTTTCCAACTAGGATTATTGATAAAAGCATCAAGCATTGCTAGAATGAGAACTGAGCGACTGAGGACATAATAAGAAAAAAAAACCTCATTTAGTCCTTCCTTACCAGCAACCATATTTTGAGTTTTCTCAGGGCATTGCTCTTTAATCTGTCTAGCTCTTGCTTATGTGTGGTAAAGTGTGAACTCACATTTTTACCATTAAAAAAGCACTTATCAAGAAGAGTTACATCCTCTTAAAAATATTTATTCTATCCCAACTATTTCCATATTTTGCCTATTTACATTTAAAATTGCACTAAAAAGTCAGGAACCTCTAGAATAGGAAAACATTTATTCATTTTATTCATGCTTGAAAACAGCCAAGACTTCATCCAAATAATAAAAAAAAAACAAACCCACACATTTTTTAGAGAAGACAAGCCTGAAAAATGTCAGCCGCAGAGATGATGCTTTCCTAATGATACGAGCAATGGAAAACAAAAGCTAGAATAAAAGAAATCATGCAGCTCAAATTCTTAAATCAACAGGCAAGCTAATTTGGCTTTAAGAGTTCTAAGTATATTAAATTATGATACCTAGCTTGGTAATATTAACTTTGCATAGTTCTTTGATTATGACAGAAGTTTCAGAAGAGAAAGAATCTTAAGTGTAGCATGGAATTCTTTGTGGAACTACTGTTCAGCCATCCTTACACCAATCCTAGGTAAAATAATGAAATCTCTGACACTGAATTTAATTAATAAAGAATTAAAGGACATCCTGGAAAAAAACGTCAACCTTAGTTGTTTCTCTAAGATGAACCCTAAACCTTACTGAACATAAATCCCCAGTGAGATGCTGTCTTTAGAACTATCATTTTCAATGTACGAACAAGAGAACCACCACCTAGTTAAACTAGAGACAAGTTACTACCTCTTTGCTGGCTACTGGGAAAGGTGACTGAACAGCAATCTGTAAGTAGCTACTGAGGGAGAGAATAAATAAATTTCAGCAGGCCAAAAAGAAATTCTTATTGAATAAATTTAAAATTAAAATTAAATTATATTTTTGCAATAATTAGTTTACCCATAGGAATAACATTATTATCAGATTCTCCATCAATTGATATCAAGCTAACTCGCCTGTGATCCACGATGAATATACTCGAAGAAAACATCATGTCCTGTGTCATGAATAGGTCCCCATGAACAGGATAGGGGACCATTAATGGTATTTTCCTGGCCTTACTAACTGTACCAAACAATCTTCCTTCTTCAGTGTATGTAGCTTGTCTCTTAAGTATCAAAATGCAACAACAGCCATGCCTTGGAAAGGGCAGTTAGGTTTCAGCAGTATAAAAAAAATGAAGGCTTGATATTCAGGCATCTTACCACAGTTACATTACCTTCTATTCCTGTTCTATACTATTTACATTTAATATGTACACAAGCTCAGACTTAAAAACACTCAAAGTTCTTTTAAGAAGAGGATGATAATGTATCTACCTCAGTTCTAGTATTTATCTAACCAGAGTTCCAAAATTCACACAGAAGATACTACTGATAATTGTTTGGTTTACACTCGTGATGGAGAACATAGTCTTAACACTTAATGTTTTGTTTTGTTTTTAAGGCCTGGCTGTAGTATCTACTAGTTACAAGGCAATGGCAGATTTTTCTTTTTAACATTTGCAGATACCATGTTTGCCAATAAAAACAAAGAAAGACGATCCCACCAGTTTCAGGCTTGGCCAGAAGGCCATGGTCACCCAACCTAACCTTTATATGTGCAAGTCATGGAAATTCTCTCCTCAAAGGAAATAAAATATATCTTTTAGAAAAGTACTGGTTGTGTTAAAAAGTCCACAACCTCTTTTGCCAAAGACATTACTGCACTAGAGCATCTTTTCCACATGCATTAGAAACTTGCACAAAGGTCAAATAACCATTCGGTCAAATTTTCCATTTGATGAACCAAACTGAGATCCTTGAACCTCAAAAGTATGTTTTTGCCAATCTGTCTTCTGAACTGTCTTCCAGCAATTCTACAAGCTCCTTGGAATTTTCATGGCCAGGCTGGATGAGGCTTTGAGCAACCTGGTCTACTGGAACTTGTCCCTGCGCATGGCAGGGAGTTGGAACTAGATCATCTTTAAGGTCTCTTCCAACCCAAACCATTATATGACTCTATGATTCTATGAAATGCAGAAGACACATGGTGCATTAAAGAAAGCCATAAGCCAAATTTAAAGTTTTGATTTATCTGTTATCATTACATTCCTAATTTCTGAGAGCTATCAAATAGTACTGCAAATTTGCACGCTTTCAGAGAGAAACAGTTCTGAAGAAACTAGTAACACTTCAGCTAACATTAACTTCTCAACACAGCAAGATGCACAACTTGTTAATAACGTGTCTTAGACTCTTTGGAAAACACTACTGCAAAGCCTCCAGGCACCTGGGGGATGCTTTACCTTGTTCTCCCAAGCAAAAAAAAAAAAAAAAAACAAAAAAAACCCAAAAAACAGACCACACTTCTCTACTTCAGATAACTTCATCTGTCACTTCAAGACCTAACCTTCCTAAGGATTGCATCATCTGGTACCAGCAGTGAGCTTGACCACACATCTTTATCACGCACTGACAATATAATTTATTATTCAACAAAAAGAAGTCTTTACTCTTTGACTAGGCTCCTAGTCAGACTAAAATCAATTAAGTAATTGCCACTGGCCACTGAAATAGCCCAGAATTTCAACATTGATCTCCCGTTGAACCAGTCAAGTGACCAGGTAATGACACTTTTTGAGACAATACCTGCAGATCAGCCACCTTGAAGGATGGGAAGTCATCAGGGAAA